GTTTCACTGGTGTGCCTAATGCGTTGTTTGTATTGAGTAGTTGGGGGCAACGAGACTCCCAATGAGTAGACATAATTCTTCACACTTAGGCTGCAAGCTGGTGCTGCTCTTCCTCCAGGGCATCCTCAGGGGCATCCCATCTGCCTGGTGGAGAGCAGGGCTGCTCACTGGTTTCATTCTCACTCATTCAGGGGGTGTGCCTGGGCCACCTTAGAGTTGCAATAGAACATTGATGTGTCTCTAGACAGACCTGCTTTCGACACTCATGTAACAGATGGGTCTGTGCTGCCCTTAAGCTTGTGGTCCCCACACATCACAGCTGAATACAGTCCTCCCTGCAAGCTGCTGATTGTTTCTCTGAGCATGCAGACCTCGCAGGTCTTCTCTGGACTTGACAGATGCCAACATCCTGTTGTCTTCATGGAGGACAGTCTTCCCATGGGTGGAAGCTGCATTTATGTCCGTGGTATGGGGAAGATCCAAGGTTCATATAAATACTTTTTGGTAGTGCTGTTTCTTATCTTGAGTTGAAATTATCCGGGACAATACTGACAGACTTCAGAAACCTGGGACTAATTCACCTTTTGGGTAAAACATTGAGTAAGGAAAGTAGTTCTGTTTCATCCCTGTTGGAGGGAAGAATTCTCTTTGCATTTAACTGAAAAGGAAGTGTTTGTGGATCTTTTTTGTTTCATTGTGTGTATATTCTTTATATCCTTCTTTTATGCCTGTTCTGTAAATAAGGATCCACAGCTCTCAATAAAATATCCCTGGGCATTTGTTTTGCAATCATAAAGTCAATACCCCCTTCATAATAAGCTACTGGCTTTGCTACAAACACAAAACAAAACAGTAATGCATTGCAAAAGCACAGTTGTCTGTTTCCAACAGATGAGCTAAAGTCCTCAAATAGGAGCAAGAGTGTATATGTATGTGACTGTGTTTAATTTGCCTTGGGTAGCATGCAAGTCAAGGATTCTTTCTTTATTTTTGAACAAAGCTGTTTTTAAGAACCCTGAATTTGCATGAAAAAGATGCTGGTCCCATTTGGTTTCCCCACATACATTGGGACCTTGGGAGTTTGAAGATATGGTTTGCCAAGGGACTGCTGAACCCAAGGGCAAATGAGATGACTATAGAAAAGGCAGACCCACTTATTTTTAATACTTTGACTAAGTTGATAATTTGAGCTGAGAAATGAGAACATCTAGAAATGCTGAGATTTTCACCATAGATACTTTCACCCATCTGATAACTCTGTCACTTCCTTAAATTTTTATCAAGAATGACAACCCTTTCATACAAAAATAAAATATAATTCCTACTAAAAACAAAAATCTTGCAAATACATGACACACCAACGTTACGACAGATTTGAGAGATAGAAAGTACCAAACCTCAAGAAAGTATTATTTTTTGCTTTTTTTTTTTTTTTTTTTTTGCCTTGAAATGCTTTTCAAAGGAAATAGGATTCAGAAACTTATGGCATAAAATAGGTCAAAATTGGGATGTTTTGCTTACTGGGACTCAGATGGTACTGGTCTTGTCCTTCCTATACCATAGAAAACCCCCAGCTGTTACTTACAAGTCTTAGAGATGCCTGCTTTATGACATTATGTATATTGCATTTCCCGAATAAATGATTTAAACCAATTACAGAGCATTTTTTTTTGAAGATTTTATTTATTTATTTAACAGAGAGAGAGAGAGAGAGAGATCACAAGTAGGCAGAGAGGCAGGCAGAAAAAAAGGAGGAAGCAGGCTCTCTGCTGAGCAGAGAGCCCGATGTGGGGCTTGATCCCAGGACCCTGAGACTGTGACCTTAGCCAAAGGCAGAGGCTTAACCCATTGAGCCACCCAGGTGCACCCAGAGCATGGTTTTAAAGAGACAGTTGTACTTGCTATTCTCACGAATTCTGCTCATTCACTAGCTCACTACTTTGAATCAGCATAGCTCTCAAGTAACTAGACTTAAGCAAGTTTACAACTTATATAAATAAGGAGCTCTAGGTTACAGGGCTCATTCTGGGGATTGTCATTTCTGTGACTCAGACTACACCGAGATTTCTCATGCATGTGTTACACATTTCCACGTGGCTCTTTAAAGTTGGGTACATTTCTGGTCACGTGGTGGTAGGTCAAACCTAAGCTGGTATTTCCAGGTTCTGCATATTTATTTTGCTCTGTTTTACCAACTCAGATGGCTAACATGCTGCCACTTCGAAGATGAGCCTTTCACATGGGTTCACTCACTGTTTATTAAATGCCTAAAAATGGAATGTGTGGGCAGAATATAAAATTCATGACTTATGAACATTTTCCTTCTTAAAAACTAGGTAATGGCCAAATCTGTTAAATTTTTCTTTCAAATTGGGTTTTATAAGATTTCACATGAACCTATACTGTGTGAAAATTCCTAATAGTGTTATAAAGGCAAACTCTTTTAAGGATAAAATAGTGATGTTTCTAACCTTTAAGCTGTGCAAGGACTCTTTTCATCATTTAGTAGGATGATTGTGCTAAGATAGACTTTGCTCTGTTTCTAGGAATGTCTTCTTTACGCTAAACTGCTCTTGTAAAATATTAACATGCTGTTAGCATACATATTCAATCTTGTGCTGAAGATTCAGCAATCAAGAATAATGAGTCCAGGAAATTTTCTAGACTATTCTTCCATTTCTACTTCGGTATCTTCTAGGTTAATTTCTTGAAGTGTGGTCCTAAGATGCTGAGTGTTCCTGAGACCTTTCAAGAGATCTGGATCTACAGAAAGAGACAGAGACACAGGAACAGAGAGAGAGAGAGAGTGCGTGTAGTCTCCTTTAACTGTTCTGAGCAGTCATTTCATAGTTTTCACTGTAGTAGCCTGACAAACCTTTTGTAAATTTATTTCCTAAGTGTTTTATGTTCTGACACTATTGGAAATGAATTAAAAAAAAAAATTTCCAGTCGTTTGATGCTAGTATGTAAAAACACAATTGCTTTTTGTGTATTGGCTTATATCTGTGACTTTGCTAAACCCACTTATTTATTAGTCGGATAGCTGTTTTCGTAAGTTCCTTAGTATTCTCTATTTGAAAAGTTGTTATCTGTGAATAGAGACAGTTTTACTTTCTCTTTTTTGACATTCACATCTTTTCTTTGTCTTTGTCTTATTGAACTACATAGGAGTTTTGCTGGTCTCTGGACTTTATATAAATGGAATCATAAACTATACACTCTTTTCTGTTTGCTCTTTCCATCTTTCATTTGCTGTGGTACTCTCTGTGTTGTTGTGATCAGGTATACATGACTCCTTCTCAGTACTTTCTGGGATCCCAATGTATGATTATGTAGAAGTTTACCCATTCTGTTGTTCATAGGGTGCACATTTTTAGTTTAAGGTGATAACAAAGACTGCATCTACGAGCATTCTAGTTCATGTCATTTATGGAATATACCTATGCACTTCTGTTGTGTATATACTGAGTTGAACTGCTCATAAAGTATAGGGTATGTTCTTTGGTTTCTTTGTCCCTGTATCTACCATGTGTTTATTTTTCATATTAAACCAAAAGTCAGTCTTATTCTTCTCTTTCAATTCTTTGCTCCTTTCATCTGCTCATTAAGATTTGGGTCAGAGAACAGATTTCTTCGTTGCTCACCTGACAAAGAGGAGCATGACTTCATCTCTTCCTGGCTTCTTCCTCTTGACTTTTTTTCCCTCCCCCACAGACTCTATGCATGGGTCCTTCCCCGAGCTCCCAAAATTTGTTCTCCTCAAGGATCTCCTGGTTCTAGTTTTCTTCCTTCTAATGTGTCTCTGTAGGCATGAATTCAAAGAGAACTATTCCTACTAAAAAATTGACTTAACTGTAACCAAACTAAAGCACATGTCTTCTTGGCAGTCGTAGGCATTTCAAAGACCCAAGCAGTTAGGCCTGGAGAAATCCTCTTACTCAGCTGGGAATTTGGTTGCTCCCTTGCTATTCACTAATAGCCAAATAGCCAGTCCCATCTAGAGGGAAGGCTGAGGGATGAAATATCACACAAATGGTTTCACAACTTGATAACCACAGAAGGATTTGGGGGGAAATCTGTACTAATACTAAGATTGGAAGGTTACTGGAAGGGTTCACTTACCACTACTTCATCTGTAACCTTTTTTCTTAAGAATCATTAGTTATCCAAAGTGTAGTATCTATCACTTTACAAAACATTCTTAAGATTCTGGTGAATATTAAATTTTATTCTAATTGAAATCAGAATTACAATTATAAGGATACAAAATGGACCCCATTGTAAAATAAAGAATGCTAAAATAAATGCTTTTAAATTTTATATATTTTCTAAGCCCTGAAAAACAATAAGCAAATTTTTTATTTAGGATTTGTGAGATAAAGAAAACCTAAAGTTTGATCCTAATACAATTGATGCATACCAGCTGGGAGCTAAGCCTATCTGAGCCTCAGTTTCCAAATTTGTAAATGGGGATAATAAAGCCTATTATAGTGTTGTTGTCAGACATATATAAGAGCATGGTACTTTGATGTGGCAAGTCTGTAAGTGATTTTTTATTATAATCTCAAGAATTTCAATTCAAGATTCAAGCCTGTTTGCCTTTTAAAATTCACCATCAGTAAAGAACAACAAAAGAAATTAAAATAACTCTATGTAAGCAAAGTTGATACAGAAAGGACCACTGAAATATTTTCGCCACAGGAAAATTTGTTTCTAAATTATATATGTTCATGAACTTAAAGGGAAGCTTTTACTTAGCATTTAGGGTTTATTTGGCTTTTATAAAATCCAAGGCAAAAAAAAAAAAAATCTCTTTCATGACACTCAATGAAAACAATGCACGAATGACTTTAAATATTTATAGAAAGTTTAGTGGAGGAAGTGAGCTAAACCAGGGAAGGAGTTCCTCTGGAGACCTCAAAAGAATGTTTCAAAGCCATGCCAGTGTACCTCTACCCTGAGAAGAATAGGCAGCTAACCACGTGCTTTTGTTTCCCCAGGGAGAAATTGGCTGTGGCCCGGCTGCAGCGAGAAGTTGCCCAAAGAGGAAGTGAGGGGGCCATGGTAAGTGCTGGCTGGTCTCTCCTGATCTTGTACCTCCCTTCCAAAGGTCTCTGGCTTGAAAGGCATTTTGTCTCCTTAAGGACATCTAAGGAAAATAATTACTTGCAGCAAACTTAAGGATGTATTGGTAAATAATGTGTTTTTTCCTAATGCAGTTTGGACAGTTCTGCCATTTGCAGACAGGGAGAGAGGGAGGGAGAGCGGAGAGGAAGGGTGGGATTAATTGAGAAAAAGAACTATCTGGGCTTTGAAGAGGATGTTCAAACATTCAGACTGGTTATATGGCTTTACTTCCTAAAGACCTGGGCTTCCAGCTGTGAGCAGAGTGTCAGTAAATGAGCAATGTTGGGTTCTCAGCTAAGAACGGTTCAACATAGCTCTAGCCTCTCAGTTCTTTGAACTTAGAAACAAACAACCTAAGAGAAAATGAAGATGTTTGCTAATGTAATTGTCTTCTATCCTTTTCTTTCTCTGCACTATTGCAGTGTGTTTCTCCCTGTCCTTCTCAGCGTGTGCTGTTCAGAAAACGGATGTTTCCTTGTGTTTTGAATTATACTAAAAATCAATATGGTTGTTTTGGTCCATTGCAACTTCATTTTATCGACTCTCTTTGCAAAAGTCTCTGCCTGCGTGCCGCTCTAACATCAGAGATGACTGTCTGGGGTCCCAGGGTTTGGACATGTGTGGATTTAACTGCTGCTGCTACCTCTGAGCAAAAAAAAAAAAAAAAAAAAAAAAAAAAAAGGACAGCAGATTTTTTTTTTTTTTTTTCACTTAAGACGAAACAGAGGCACAGGTGAAATTTTCAGCACAAGAATTATCTTTTTTAAAAAAGAGAAGTGACACATTTTCAGACCCTGCAGACTGCTTGTTTGATTTCATGAGAGCTAATTGACGAGCCATCCCCCGAAAAGAATAAGAAATTGGTAAAACATGCTGGCCTCGCACTTCTCTCAGGGAGGATAATGGAGCAAGAGCCTGAATGTTTAGTGGGCTCTGGAATGGTGCAGTGGCCTTTGAGCATGCTAAAGTATTTAGGTGATCATACTGTTTGCAATTCTAGTGATCTTAATGCAGTGAGAATCTTAAATGTTCAAACAATAGGAAACAACTGCTCGCAAGCATCTTTGAGCAACGAAACAGGTTGGAGAAATAGGTTGGAGAAAATGAACATTTAGTCACATAGTGAACTAAAAATGCCCAATCTGGATTTTGATGGCATTGGGATATGTGTATGGACTAGGCCATTCTGCGATGTTTTAGTCTTTTGTTTCAGGCTAGCTGCTGTTGTACATGGTGAATGTTAAGAAGTGACAACTTTTCTAGGCCTCACTTCATATATATATATGTATATATATATATTTTTTTCGATACAATTTTTTCATCTTCAAAATGAGGAGGTTGGAATTTTATGATTCCATTAACTTAGTGGATCACGCCACTGAACATTTGTTATGTAAAGTTTTTATGATAGGGAGCTTTTCCTCATAATAGCTAAATGCTATTTAAGCTCATAAGAACAGGCCTCTAAAGAATGTCTCTTTCTGACTGCCTGTGAATGGATCTCAGCTGAAGTAATCTCAGGCTAATAACTCTATAGTCTTTAACAAGATAAAAAAACCCCTTTAGAAACATTGTAATAATTGTTCAGCATCAGAAAAACACAAGGACACAAAAAGATTACTCTCATTGCTCAAAAAACAACTTCGGAAATGTTACCAGTATTTTTTCATTCTTACTTTAGTTATGGTAATGAAAAATCACACTTAACATGTTGATTGATTTAACAAGCATTCATTGGGCACCTACTCTGTGCCTCACACTGTCCTAGGCCCTGGGGAAACATCAGACGGGGTGGTGGTGGGGGGGGACCAGGCAAAAACCCTAGAACTTACATTCTAGCGGTTGTGGAGACGAGACAGACATTGGAAGTATTTAGAGTGATAGATGGTGGAAACAGCTATGAAAAAACAAGATCAGGGTAGGAGAGATTGGGAGTTCTAGGGCATCACTATTTTAAATAGTGTTTCAAAGAAGTAAATCACTAGAAAGTTAGTATTTGAGCAAAACTTGAAGGAGGCAAAAGAGTGAACGGTGGTGATATCTGGGAGAGGATCATTCTAGTCTGAGAGGTCAGCATACAGAGGATTGGGGTGCCCGAGGAAAAGCCTGGAGACAGGCTGGCTGGAGGGTAGTTGGTGGGGAGAGGGTGAATAGTAAAAGATACAATCAGTGAAACGATGGAGGACAGAGGGGTAAGCCAGGGATCTCCGGCTCACGCTGGGAGTGATAGGAGCCATTGAAAGCAGTGACATGATGTGATTTACTACTATTCATAGAACTGTTTACTCCCTTCCATAATTTATCACATCTCAATTCCTTAGAGACACCATAAGCTCTGATTTTCATTAATGCCCTTTACTTTGTTTGTTCTCCCTCTTTCTCAGTGTTTTTCTCCTCTTTACTTACCTCTGAGTTTTCTACTTAATTACATGCTTCAGCTTTTCTGCTCCTTGGATTCATTTATTTCTGAAGTCCTGATTCTTTCAGTATCTGACAGTTCCTAAAGTCAGGCAGTTCTGCTCATCCTCTAAATTTGATTCTTGCTGTTACAAGCCCAAAACTTTTGTCATTTCTATATCAGAAGAGAAAAAGAGTTCATCACAAGCACATCACATTGTTAAAGACTACTATTTACAGTAATGTTTATTTTTATCCACAGGAAAGGGAAAATGTTATGGAAAGTTAAGTATTTTTGAAAAAAATGATATAGTTGAGGAAGATATTGATTTTTAGAATATCAGTGAACATTTTATAATCAGGGTCTTTAATGTAAAATGCAAATTTAAAAAATTTGACTTTGTGCAGTCTCTTCACTTACAAGTTTTAAGATAGTATTCAAGGCACCATTTTTGAGGGGTTTATTTTATTTTTTAACACTTTATTTTGGAATAATTTTAGCCTTAAAGGAAGTTTCACATATGTATCCCCTTGATCTGTTTTCTAATGTTAATGTCTTCCATAGGGATGGCATAGTTTTAACAACTAAGAGATTACCCTTGGCATGTTGCTATTAACCAAACTTCAGATTTTATTAGAATTTCACCAGTTTTCCCAGTAATTTCCATTTTATGATCTAGGATTCAATCCAGAGTACCACAGTTCATATAGAGAGATTGCTGTTTAATGGCTAATTCATACAAATGTTGGGATAAAAAGACCATGAGCTTGGGAGTGAGGCAGGTCTGGATTCAAAGTCCGTCTCTGCCAGTAGTAGCTATGTGGGCTTGGGCACATTACTAGTTTTTATCAGTTCTGCCCGTTCTTTTGTTCTGTTGACCTAAGTATTTATTTGGAAAACCTTTCTTTCAGTAATTAGATATTTCATATTTGTTTTCCTTTGTTTTGGACTCTTTCATGAAATAACTATTGTTTTTATACTTAACTTTTTATTATTTTTCAAAAACGACTGTGAATTCATTTTGTCTTCATTCTTGGAGATTATGTTTTCTCTTGTACTCCCCAACACTCGTTCAGTTTACGTATGAAATCTATTCTGTCCTTAAGACTTTAATGTCATCTTAAATTTGGCTATATAAAAAAAGGCTCATTCTACCCCAGGAATAAAAGATATTCATTATCATTATCTTTTAGAAAATATATAGTTTTTTTCTTTCTGTCAATCTTGGCATCATCTAGATGGAATTAAGTTAGTGTGAGGTAAGGATCAAAAGGAATATTTTCCCCAAATCATTTATTAAATAGTCTAAACTTTACTGTTACCTTTACTGTATTCCAAATACCCATATTAATCTTCATGAGTTACTGGACTGCTTATACTTTTCCATTAACCGTTGTTGATTCTTAAAAGATTCTAAATTGGTTTAGTTACTAGAAATTGATAGTTTACTTAACATTTTGTAGGCTAGATTCCTTGTTATTATACTTTTTCCTCCAAACTTGCAAAGACAATTTTATTTATGAATAACAATAAGAATTTATGAGTTAAAATATGTGTTTAGATTTTAAAAAATAGTGAAGAGCATTTTATATGTATCTACCACACAACAAAATATTGTAGTGAGACCATTTCAAAATGACAAGGAAACTGGCTTAAGTATATTTGCTGTTTTCTTAAGCTGATATTAAATTTTTAGAAGAATATCACTTGTGCCACTGTTTAACTTTTTTTTTAATCAAAGAGGTATTAATGTCTACAGAACACTAATACTCTTCCAGACATAATTTTTTTTCTTTTAAAGATTTCATTTTTATTTGACAGAGATCACAAGTGGGCAGAGAAGCAGAGAGAGAGAGAGGAGGAAGCAGGCTCCCTGCGGAGTAGAGAGCCCGATGTGGGACTCGATCCCAGGACCCTGAGATCAATACCTGAGCCGAAGGCAGAGGCTTAACCCACTGAGCCACCCAGGTGCCCCCAGACATAATTTTTAAAATGCTTTGCCCAATTATGCAAAATCTTAGATATGGTTCCTTTTCGTCTCACTGGGTAATTTCTACTTGGGAAAAATAAAACTATTAATTCTTGATTTCTCATCTCAAGGTACTAGGAAAGGAAACAGAGGAAGCCCATTCGCCCTGTTGTAAGATTCCCTTTTTTTCTGCCTCGAGATATTCAGACATTGCCTTGATGTTACCATATTGATGGTTACCTAAATTCATTATCATCCCCTCCCTTTTTTTCCTCACAATGATCTTCCAAGGAATAATGGGATTGAGATATTGGTAGAATAGGAATTTGAAGAAAAAACAGAAGAGTTTGAGAAAGTAGGAAGATCAGAATCCTTGGACCCACTGTGACATCCTTCCTGGAGGACAAGGCAATCTTATGGCCCCAGAAGCCCTCACTATATCTTGCTTATTCAGAGCCACAGTGTGGATAGCCAGCTATGGTGCTGACACTGGATTTGGGGAGTTGGAGATACAAACTTGGGGAATAACACGTATAGAACCTTCACGTCTGTAGTGCAGTGTTCAATACC